ATGAAAGAAAATATGGCCTTCTACGAACGACTGTACATTGAAGGGAAATAGAACGTTGCTTGATTTTGACACTCTTCGTGGCCGAGCGGTTCAAGCTCACTGGATAGGACGGCGCCATATAATATAAAAGTATAGTTATAGATAGAGTAGTCAAAAACAGAGACAGAGCATGTGTAGTTATAAGAGTGAACACTAGCATTAAACCCAGTGGCGACCGTCTGTTTCAAGTTTGAGCGCAAGCTTATATATATTTAATCATTTCACCAGAAGCAAAGTGGGTATGCCACTAGTACTCAGGGGTTTAGTGGAAGAAAAGTGAGAGAAAAGACTGAGTATAGGGAGGGTGGAGGAAAGGAGAAAAGATGAACGGGATGCAAGAAGATAGAAAATGGCGATTGACGTTGCATTTAAGATTTGTTAATCATTTCACCCCAAACAAGGCAGGGATGTCACTAGCACGCAGCGGCTTACAGGGTGTGAAAGTGAGAAAAAAGACTGAGTATAGGGAGGGTGGAGGAAAGGAGAAAAGATGAACGGGATTCAAGATGATAGAAAATGGCGATTGACTTTGTATTTAAGATTTGTTAATCATTTCACCCCAAACAAGGCAGGGATGTCACTAGCACGCAGCGGCTTACAGGGTGTGAAAAGAGAAAAAAAGACTGAGTATAAGGAGGGTGGAGGAAAGGAGAAAAAGATGAACGGATTCAAGATGATAGAAAATGGCGATTGACTTTGTATTTAAGGTCTCTTAATCATTTCACCCCAAACAAGGTCAGGAATGTTACTAGTACGCAGGGGCTTACAGGGTGTGAAAGTGAGAGAAAAGACTGAGGAAAGGATAAAAGATGAACAAAAGATGAACATTTTTTAAGAATATAGAAAATGGCGATTGACGTTCCACTTAAGATTTGTTAATCATTTCACAACAAACAAAGCAGGAATGTCACTATTAAACGAGGGCACACATAGAAGAGAATCTGAGATAAAAGACTGAGTACAGAGAGGATTGAGGAAAAGAGAAAAGATAAATTCAAGAAGAGAGAAAAATTGACGTTGCATTTAAATTTTTGAAGCTTGTAGTTATCAGAAACGGAAGGAAGTTGCACGGGTGGGAAGAGTAGAGTGAGAAAATAAACTGTTGGATTAGAAGTGGGGGTTGTATTTATCTATTTCAACTCTAAAACGGTGGGACTTAGATGCCAATCTAGTCTTACGCGTAAATTCATCTAGTCGAGGCACCATGGACAAAAAAAAAAGCTCGTTGTCAGTTACCATGAAAATATTTTTTAGAAAAGACAGAGGGAAGCCACGTCCTGTCGGTGAGAAAGTCGAGATACCAAGTCAGGATTGCAAATCCTTCTTTGTATTTTGTCAAGAACCTCGAGATGAATAACAGGAACACCAGACCAGATATGGCAGTAGAATTCAATGCACGGTCGAATGGTAAATTTGTAAGTGTGCAAAATGGACTCTGAAGAGAAAAAAAAATCTGGCATGACAGTGACTCAACTTTCCCCCTCTCTCTCTCTCTCTATATATATATATATATATATATATATATATATATATATATATATATATATATATGGACAAGTTTTGTCTATCAAATTTTTAAAATTAAATCGTTGAAATTTCCGAATAGGTTGTTATGTTTTATCGACAAATTTGCGAAAATTCATAACTTTTATTTTATTTTTTCCACGGTACTTTCGAATGGTACCCCATTCATTTTCAAGGATTGTTCTGTCTGTAATCACGCAACTGTTTTTTATTTCCTGCGTTCTCACGTTTGATGGACTCAATTTCAAACACTTGATGGAATCAGTTTCAACTCACTCAAGGTGATATCATAAACGGTCTAACTGAAATCTTCATTTTGTGTCTGTGTGTTTTTTTTAATTTTTAAATACACTTCAATACATACATACATACATACATACATATATATATATATATGAAGAAATATAGTTTTAAGGTGTGCTATATTTATGGGATAGAGTACTCAGTATCAGAGGTAGAGCGTAGGTAAATATAAATATAAAAGTGAACACTGAAGTCAAAACTCAGAGGCGACGGGCTGTTTTGTGCTGGATGCAATCGTCAGGCCGACTGGACCATTGCGTCCAGCATGAAACAGCCTGTCGCCTCTGAGTGTTGACTTCAATGTTCACTTTTATATTTATATTTACACATACACACACACACACACACACACACATATATATATATATATTTATTATAATTTTATCATATAGACAAAACCATTTTACTCACTACAAAGATGCAACTTGGTTTCAGTGCATTTCAACTGCACTTCGACGGGTGAGAATCGAAAATGGTTATGAAGAATCCTGCTTGTAGGCAAGCCGTGTGTGAAACATCACTTCTTTTTTTTCCATTTGTTTGGGAAGAAAAATATACATAAAAAAGTGACGTTTCACATACGGCATAGTTAGTCTATGAACTTTTCAGCCCATCCTTATACCTGGAAAGAAACAATGCAGTTATTAATAAGAAGAGTTGAAGTCATGATTTCAAAGCTCTAGCATCACACCTTCATCTTGAGCCTATGGATTTTCCAGCCATCATTCACTGGCATATAGGAGATTAGATATCACACAGCAGTTCATTATTCTTTTCTTTGTTTCGAAAGACATTTTCCTATCTCTTAATACTTTGCTTAGTTTATGAAAGGCATGAAGAGATTGTCCGTCATTCACCGCCATATAGGAGATTAGATATTACATAGCAGTTCAGCAATCTTTTCTTTGTTTCTAAAGACATTTTCCTATCTCTTAATACTTTGCTTTGTTTATGACAGGGATGAGGGGATTGTCCCTCATTTACTGCCATATAGGAGATTAGATATTACATAGCAGTTCAGCACTTTTTTCTTTGTTTCTAACAACATTTCCTTCTCTCTTAATACTTTGTTTAGTTTCTGAAAGGCATGAAGAGATTGTCCGTCATTCACTGCCATATAGGAGATTAGATATTACATAGCAGTTCGGCACTCTTTTCTTTGTTTCTAAAGACATTTTCTTATCTCTTAATACTTTGTTTATTTTATGAAAGGCATGAGGAGATTGTCCATCTTTCACTGCCGTATAGGAGATTAGATATTACATAACAGTTCAGCACTCTTTTCTATGTTTCTAACGACATTTCCCTATCTCTTAATACTTTACTAAGATTATGAAAGGCATGAGGAGATTGTCCATCATTCACTGCCATATAGGAGATTATATATTACATAGCAGTTCAGCACTCTTTTCTTTGTTTCTAACAACATTTCCCTCTCTCTTAATACTTGCAGAATATTCCCAACTTTCTCAAGGAATATACTAATAACATTGGCTATTTGATTTATAGTCCCTCGCCTGTCATCCATCACCATGTGATGAACACAATGTTTTCCTTGATTGTATCAGTTGCAGGATGTCCAGATCTTTGATCATCTTCAAGACTATCGCTTCACTTCCTAGATTCTTCTGTCCACTTTTGCACTGTTGATGTTGGAGCGTCGTCCTCTAATGTAGTAACCATATCGTGAATGTCCTTGGGGACTAAACCCCATTTTCCCGCAGATACTTCATACCACAACGATGACAAATTTTGTCCCTTTTCAAAAGAAGTCGCTACTAGTTACATTTAAAGTGTTCCTTGAACAAACATATATAACTTTGCCTGGAAATAAACAATGCAATAAAAAGAGTTGAAATCAATGCATTGTAAATTTCACAGATCAAGCATCGCTTCTTCATTGTTAGCTTATGAACATTTCAGCCCACACTCGTACCTGGAAAAGATAAAACAAGCAATTCTCAACAAGAAGAGTTGAAATTAATGTATGCAAGAGTTCATAGCTCTAGTATTTTACGTTCAGCCTATGAAGATTTCAGCCCACTATTGTACCTGAAGATATGCAATGAAATTCTTAACAAGAACAATTGAAATTAATGCATGCAAGATTACACAGCACTATCATCACTCCTTCATTTTCAGCCTATAAACCTTTCATCCCAGCCTCGTACCGGGACAGAAATAATGTAGTTATATAAGTAATGCATGCAAGATTTCACGGTTCTAGTATCACTCCTTAATCGTCAGCCTCTTAACATTTCAGCCTACCAACGTATACAAAATGTTCTTAATGTTTGCAAATTAATTGAAACAGCCGCTTTAGTTTCCTTTCTTTCACCATACGGTCAGTTTTAGACCCACTGGAGTGACATGGTGTAATCAATTTCTATTTTTTCCTCAGATTAGGTCATTTGCAGTGGTGTGCAGTAATATGAATCTATTTTCGGTGTGTATGGTGAAATTTGTTTGTCCTTGAAAAATATTGCGTCATCCGTGATTGCATCAGATTTTTCTCACGCCAAGACACTATTGTCTCGACTGTCTATTAGTTGTCCCAGAGCCATTGTCTGCAAGGGAGCGTAAGGAAATTTGTAACATTGCACGAACACACTGGCAAGCCTTACCAGTGAGCAAATCAAAGTACTATAGACTGGCCCGGAAACTCTCCTGATTTAAATTCAATCGAAAATCTGTGGTCAATCTGCAAGGAACGACTTCGTGGAATGGACATACAAAGTACGAACATGTGCACTGGGTCATGTTTCATATGAACAAAAGTAAATAATAACGGACTTATTCGTTTTGTTTCAGTTAATTTGCACAAAGGTGTAATTTTGAACCGGACTTTCATTTTAATATTGGTTTCCTTTTTAGGATTAGGTTTCCGATTAATTCTAAAGTCAGATTCGACTCTATACTTCTAACGTCTCCGCCTGGACCCTGAAACGTAATTTAATAATTATATATATATTTACACACACACACACACACACAAACACACACACACACACACACACACACACACACACATATATATATATTTAAAGATATTTTTGTAGGTACCAAATTTAATGATCGAAATAAAAGTATAAAATTTAATATTACAAGACATATTAAAACAATATTAAATAATA